CACACACACACACACACACACACACACACACACACACACACTTTACAGTCATCTAATCTCTTCCATATTTTCTCCAAGGGGAAGAGAATGTTCTCTCTTCTCAAGGCTTGCTTTTTTCTGTGGATTTGGGGCATTTAAATATACAAGTACACCTGTCAGAGTCAAGAGGCTAGACTTTAAACATATCAGCTGGTGTAGATATGTCAAAGATCATTTCTTTTGCTATCCTTATGTCCTTGCAAGACACCAGGAAAAAGAAAACATTAAGTAGTTTGGCACATATGTTTACTGCAAGATGCACACAGCCATTACACAACGCCTGCATTTCAGAGTAACTTATTGCATGCTGTCTCACTAGAAGGGACTAGATTTCCACAAGCTGTTTACATAAAAAAGTTGAATAAATTATTAGGTCAAAACCTTAACACTACAGATTTATACAACCTTAACAATTCAAAGTGAGCAAGGGCTTCAGTCTCTGACCACCCACACACTCATTCTGGCTTTTTTTCCCAATCTCCTAGATGAGCACGTAAAGCCATTGAGGCTTGACTTAGTTCAAATAAAGCAGCTGCAGGTATTGAGCTGCAAGCAGCTTAGCATCCCTTGGAAAGAAAAGCAGACACTAACCCCTCTGCTCCTCAGTTTTCCTTACCTGTATAACAGGGATCATATTGCCTACTTCAGTGCTTCAAATGGATGTTTGTGCTAATATTTGGGGAGTGCTTTAAAACAAAAAAACAAACAAGCCTAAAGCGCTGTATAAGTGCTATATCTTATTATTTTTGGTCCAGCTCATTCTTGGTGGAGTTCCCCCCCACCCCACCCCCTAGGCCCCTAGGCGTGAATTCTATGGATGAGCAATGGTGCTTCAAGCAAGATGCACTGACAAGGCTCCAAAACCAGGTGCCACCTCATACTCCTTTTTAGAAGGAGATGTCTAATGGCTATGGAAAAATATAATACAGCCCCAGATAGAGTTCAGCCTACACGTTTCCCCATCCCTAACCTGAATGATCCCAGGCCAGAGTACTGTCTGTGGAACCATAATAATAATACTATGAAAGTGACTCCATTGTTCAAAACTTTCTGGGCAGGGTGAGGAGTTCCACATGGAGATCCGTTTCTGAATACCAGCATGAATCTGGACATAAATGGGCCTATCATGCTTACTACAAATAGTAGAAGAATTTCTTCATCCTTCCAAGGTATTTGAAGCAAAAATTGCACATTAGATATTTCCCTAAAACTACAAGAAATAGGACTGCACACAGAACAGCCCAACCACAGTGAATACCTAAGGGACAAATTCTGCACAACATGCAGCAGGGCAACTTTAGGAAATCAGATTCTGGTCCTTTTCGTATAAAACCTACAGTAATTCCACTAGTCAGAGGGTTACACAAGATTTTACACTAGTGCCACAGAGAGCAAAATCTGTGCCAGGAACATCAATTAAGTTGCACAGGAGTATATTAGTACAGATTATTATATTCTGTCTTTTACTTACCCTGCCTTTTCTGTGCACTGGGCAATAAAGACTCTGGAATGCACAGGGGATTAGGAGATAATCTTTCACTTTTAATGCTAAATAAAGGTAACATCTGACTTAATGTCACAAAGGGAATACAATTTGCATTATAGTAACTATTTAAAAAAATAAATAAGTTCTTGACTTCTCACGTAAAGATGGGCCCCAGTCAAAATTCTAGCTCCATCCCCAAGTTTTGAGAAAAGTGGATCCAAATCTAAGCTCAGTGGCTTGGGACAACAGCTGTGTTTTAGCAAATACATTTTTAGAAGAATCTGTTTTAGTCAGAAATGGATCATTTAAGTTGGGTAAGTCCTCTACTTTTATCATTCAAGTAGCAAAAATGGAATCTTGATATCAATAGTCTGTTTGAGAGCCAGTCACAGCACATGCACTGTTCTTCTTTTCTATCCAAAAACATACAGAGGAACCTTCTTAAGATGGAGCCATTTGACCCCCACATAAAAAAAAACAACTTCTAGAAATTGGGGTTCATTGTAGACTTAATATTTAAAAGCTGACTCATACACATCCTTACAACTGCATGAATGATCCTAATGAAGTCAATCTGAGCAAGGAATACTCATGCATGTCAAGATTTATAGAATCAAATTTCTTATAAGAATTAATGTAAGCAGGGTCCGCCTTATATGATGCACAATAATCCTTGTAGGTAGTTGTTATAACTAACTGTTGTAATATTGCTGTGTTCATTTGTTAACGTTTAAAGGTTTTATAACATGTCCTTTTGTTCCAATAAGCATAAACACAAAAAACAGATGATCTCCAAAGACCTTTGGGACCAACAGGTTACTTGCTGAAGCACAATCCCATATTTTAGCAACATAGTATCACACCTTCAAAAAGGTAGCAGATACAGGATACTAAAGAAAAAAGGACTACTCTTTTAAACACAACTAGAATTCAGAAATCCTTTACATGCCATTTAAGTTACTGGTACTAGTTTTTAAATGTATAAAAATATTAAGATAATTAATTGTAAGCTACTTAAAACAAATCACTAAACAGAATTCTTTTTTAAAATTCAGAACTTTTTCCTTAACTTTAAAGAGGAAACATGCTTTATTTTAAATAAATTATGGACTAATATGAACCTAATGTCATGAAGTCAAAGCAAAAAATCAAGTATAGTACAATTTGTTCTAATACTGTACATATATATTTACTAATATATTGTACTTATTTTGTCATATTTTAGCAATAAATTTCTAGGTTGAAAACAATTAGATCATTTTCATAATAAACTGAATCCTTAAAAGCCAATATACCTGTGAAAGCAATTTGTGGATTTTTTTAAACCAAAAAAATTAATACAATATATGTACAGCTCAGTGTATGTAGTTCTATAAACTAAATACAATACACCAAATTGTCCCTGTATATTTTTTATTACGGATCTATTTTGGCAATGTGGAGGTATATCTTTTATACTGCTGTGAATCCTAGCATACAAGAAGGATGCTTCAAATATTTGCATTCTTTAGGAAAGAAGCAAACTTTAACCCAAAGGCAATCAATTTATTCAAAAGAGAAATGCATTGTGAAAAACAAGCGGTACACTAATATTAGTAGATTGTTGTGTGGTTTTTTTTTTTTATTGACATTCACATTTTTTAAAAATTCTGAAACGGGTCTGTACATTAACTTTATTAATAGAACTTAAATATAAGAAAAAGGTCCCTAAAATGATCAGCATTTTCCCCCAAAATAAAGTGCTAAGATGTGTGTGGTCATTAAGAGAGTTTGCTTCTTTTGTTTGAAAAAAAAAAAAAAGACAGGTTAGCAAGTATTTGACTGGAATCTTTTACCATGGATTCTCAAGCTTCAGCATTCAGATTTTTTAGAAGATTCTGGCTGTTCTTCTAAGCTCAACTGGAGTTCGTTCTGGCATTTTGGTGTCTCACCTTTGACAGCTAGATTGATAACTTTCAACCATTTCTGTTTCAGTTCCTCACTGTCTGCAGCAAAGCTGTGCACAGACTTGGACTGGGTCAGTTTGAAGCTATGTGGGAGGTCAGCACTTCTGGGGGTGTCATCTACTGTATAGCCTAGTAGAGGAATCGTAGCCAGAGCTTTAACATCCTAGAAAAGAAAAAAAGAAATAAACTTTGATCACAATATGATTTTTTGTTCCTTGACAGGTTAGATCCACCTCCCCGCCACTTATTCTCCAGTTACTTGACTTCCCCCAACTTCCTCAGTTCCTCAGCAGAAACTGAGGAATTCCCAGTCTCTCATGCCTCCATGCTGAAACCCATCCCAGGCTCCACAAAGAGGCATGGGTTAGCACAGGTCCCAGTGAGAAAGCCTGGGACACTGTGGGAGTCAAGAAACCTTAATTTTTATGGTGGCACAAAGGCAAAAAAAAGGCAACATGTTTCCACTGCTAGTTGTTCACAACAGGAAAAAAAAATCATTTTTTTTTCTGTTTCCCTTCCCTTCTGTTTCTTTACATACCTGTGGAGCTCCATACATGTACAGCACAAGAGCTTCATGTTTAGGAATAACACACCATGCTTTCTGCCAAGGCTTTGATTTTTCCATATACTGAAGAAAACTACATATGACACTGTTTCCAGAGACCTCAGCTGATTCAATCTAAGGAGACAGTTCACAGTGTAAGAAGGAAACTCTCCCGTAACAAAAATGTAAGATGTTGAAGAGAACACAACACAAAAGTTAAAATACAACACCATCTTTTACATGTTTTTGTCCCAAATGCTGATACAATTAAAACTGAGTACTGTAAGTACATAGTACTGAGTACTTATGATTGGGTTTATGAAGAATTAAAAACACAGTTCATCTGGAGCAAGAAAAACTTAGTTCTTTCTTGCTCAACATTTTTAGAGAACAGCTAACAGTATCACCCTGCACACCTGAATTTCCTTCTGCTCAAATAACAAATTTGCTGTATATTTTAGTATCTGAAACACACTCTTTATCTAACTTTGTGCCCATCACAACGTTATCTAAGTGCTACTAACAGCCCTTCATGATTACTCTTCTATGTTGGCAGTAAAATCTTCATGAAAGCATCCAACATAACTGCATTTCCAAAGATGATGTATGAATGCAAGCATTTTTCTTGGAACTACCCAGAATTAAAAAAGGGAGATTAAATAAAAAGACGACTTGATAGACTGATTTATTACTGGGATTCCGCAGTCATGCTTGGAATCTATCATAGGAAGAACATGAATGATTTTTAGAATTAAGATTTTATTGACACGAATTGGGATGAATGCAAGAAAAGTGATAATATTGCAGATGTTATCACCAAATGATCACAGTACCACATATCTACCCATATATACACTTCACGTCTACTCGTATATATTCTTGATGGTTTGAGATACTGAACTTATCCTGCAACTTAGGCAGAATTTTGGAAGGGGTAGGAGGTTCTACTGGTAGTAGTTTTGAAACTGCTGACAGGTCTGTATTGTTTAATGTAGTCCCTCCAATATGCACTGGTGAATAGAGTGCAACTATGCTGTGAAACTTGCTACAAACTGAATGTACAAATTCTACAAATCACCATCATGTGCATCAGAATGTTTTTATAATTTTTCCCAATCAATATTAACTTCTGCTGTTAATTTCTCCTGATGGTTAACCCAACAAAATCTATACCAGAATAATATATTTTTGCTACTCTAGACAGATTTAGAACTAAAATGAAGTACTGTTACGTGTATTTTCTTATATACACCTTCTTAATACCATCAGAAATATTTGAAATTCCATTCCATTTTGGCCAGGAATTTTAAAAGATTAAGCAACATACTGTAAAGATTTGCAGAGAAGTCCAAAATAACAACAACAATAATAATGATGATGATAATAATAATAATAGATTAAAAAACGTAAAGTTGCATATGCTATTGAAATCAAAGGGAAAGATTAGCTTTCCCCAAATGTCATTGCAGCCAACTAGGATATGCTTAACTGATTTGCATATACCACAGCTTGGGTCTGAGGCAGGCAGATACCAGGACCTGGTACCTCCCCCACTTCTTCCTGCCACCTGGCTGTGGCTTGCTGCAAGGAAAGCACCCACACCTGCTGAAGCCCCAAGCACCCAACTGGCATGACAGCAGCAGAGCTCCCCTCTACTGAAGGCCTGGGTACCTGACTGTGGTAGGGCAGGAGTGGAGCCCCCACCACCAAATGCTGCCGAAGATACGGCTCTGCAGGCTGAATCTGGCCTGTGGGCCATAGGTTGCCAACCCTTAACATGTGCAATCTGATTGAGACACCTTGCTCCACACTTGAGTGTTGTTTGCTGTGGAGCTGGTAAAGAACACAATCATTTTGGGCCCCTGGGACTCTACAGTCAATGAGAACCTGAGCCATTCTTCCTGCATTTAGGAAAATATGGCCTTTTAAAATATGCCTACACTTATACCTCCAAGATGCCTCTCTTCTTCTTTTCTTCGCTGTCTGTGCAACCAGTTATAATATGATAGCAGTCTTTACAAACTTTGTTCAATTTATTGCTGTCATATTCAAGATGAGCTTTATAATCCGAACATTTCCAGCAAACCACCTTAAGGGAAGGGAGGAGATGAGAGAGAGATTAAGCAAACAAAATTAAGCAGGTATGACTACAAGGTACAATATAGCATTTTGCAGCAATCTGAGCTGCATGAGTTAGCTAGGGTCACAGAAATGGCAAAAGTGTGTTAGCACAGGACTCCACTCTGTTTGACCCACTATAAAGAACAGGCAGAGGGCTGCACTGTTGTAGCAGTATTGTTTCTGGGACCTCAGCTAGCTTATTTAGAACTAACTCGGGTATTTCTCTCTACCTGGGATTGTATTATTTTCTATTGTATTTCACTGTTTCTTATTCTAGTTGCTGGCTTGAGCAAAATGTTAATAGGTTCATTTTAATTATTTTGTAATGTAAGCCCTCAATTCAGGATGGGCGCTCAAACAACGTACTTACACTTGTGCTTACTAGTGGCAGAGCTGTACTGTTACCAAGTGCATCCACAGGTGGCATATAGAGGAATTACCTTTAGAGAAGGTTAGCTGTGAAATAAGCGGGGTTAATTCTGATGAATAAGCAGCTGCAGACCAAGCAGTGGCAGCACCCCCAGAATGCGGTGGGGACAGCAGATGGCAAAGCTTTCCCTTCTGAAAAGCCAAATATATCCTTTGATGGTGCTGTGATATAGTGAGTATACACTGCCACTATAATAAGCCAGCTCAGGCCCCAGCCATGAGTCTACAAGTCCTCAATGGCACAGCAGACAGGAGAAAACATAAGAATCTCAACAGCTGCAAAGGCAGATGAAGACTACAGTGGAACAAGCTCTCTGATTTTCTTGGCCTCCTTGCCATTGGATCAAGGTCCCGTTCTGTCAAAAACCATTGGCTCCCAAACCACAACTGCACCAGAAGCAATGCTGATGGAAGATCAGTGTTGAAAGACTCCAGGACCCAATCAAGCAAGACCTCTTCCACCAGTACTCAACAAAAAACTGGCAAATTCCAATCAACAGCAATGAGAAAATATTGGCAGTGCTTGGGGTGCCTTCAAGTCCACCATCATCAATGCCTGTGAAGAGACACTTGGATTCTCTGCCAAGAAACACCAAGCCCAATTCAAGGAGAATGACAGGAAGATCCAAGAGTTGATCAACCACAAGTGCAAGGTCTTTTGTGCTTGGCTGAAAAACATCAGCACCATGTAAAAGAAATTGGATCTGCAACAAGCCAAGTCAAAGGTCCAAAGAAGGACCTGCGATCTAAAGAACAGATGGTGGGAAGACAAAGCCTTCTACAGTCCAAGCACTCAGGGACCAACCCCCATGAGACCTAAGGATAGAGGAGACCTGATCAAGGAAAGAGGAACCCCTCAATGTCCATTGGAAGGAGCATTTTGAAGACCTTATCAATCAAGATTCTGTTGTTGATGAGAGTGTTCTCAATTCCACCCACCAGCCCCCAGTCAGAGATGATCTCAGAATCCCTCCAACCCTTGACAAGGTGAGGAAAGCCATCAAACAGATGAATAATGACAGGGCATCTGGAGCTAATGGAATCCCTGCTGAAATCTTCAAGCAGGGGGAAGAGGAGCTCACATCACAGCTCCATGCCCTGATCTTAAGGATTTGGAATGATAAGGAAATCCTAAATGACCTCAGGGATGCCATGATTATGACAATCTTCAAGAAAAGAGATAAGTCTGACTGTGGAAGTTACAGAGGGATCACCTTGCTGTCTACCACAGGAAACATCATTGCAAGAACTCTCCTGAATCATCTCCTTCCACTTGCTGAAGAGCTCCTCCCAGAATCTCAGTGTGGGTTTAGGGTATGAAGAGACATGCCTGACATGATCTTCACTGCTTGCCAGCTACAAGAAAAGTGCCAGGAACAATAAACTTCTCTACATTGCCTTCTTTGACCTCACAAAAGCCTTCGACTCTGTCAACCAAGAAGTGCTGTGGAGAATCCTTCTGAAGTACAGATGCCCACTGAAATTTCTCACCATTCTTTGCCATGATGGCATGCAAGTAGTGGTTCTCAATAATGGATCTATCACAGATATGCTTGAAGTTAAGATGGGAGTTAAGCAAGGCTGCATCATTGCTCCAACACTTCTCAATATTCCTTACTGTGATTCCCACTGGAGTGGAGCTAAACTACTGAATGGATGATAAGTTTTTTAATCTCACCAACTTCAAGCCAAAACCAAGACCACCCCAAGTTTAATTATCAACCTCCAGTACACTGACGATGCTGCAGTGTGTGGTCACTTGGAAGCAGACCTTCAGGCAATCATCAACATCTTTACCCAGCATACAAGAAAATGGGACTGACACTTAACATTCAGAAAGCTAAGGTCCTCCATCAACAAGCTCTTAATGAACAGTCCCCAGCTCTGGTAATTCAGGTTCACAGTGAGATTCTGGAGAACATTGAATATTTCCCACACCTCAGAAGCCATCTCTCACAGAAGCCTGGCATTGACAAAGAAATCCACCATCACCTCAGATGTGCAAGTGCAGCCCTCAGACACCTGAGGAAATGAGTGTTTGAAGATCATGATATCAGATCTGAAATCAAGCTCATGATTTATCATGCAGTTGTGATCCCCACCTTACTGTATGGAGTTGAAACGTGAACGATATACAGGAAAAACCTCAAGTCATTGGGTAATTATAATCAATGCTGCCTGAAAAATCCTTCAGATCCAGTGGAAAGATATACACACCAGCATTAGCATCCTTTTGCAAGCAAACGCCATGAGCATTAAGGTGATGATCATCAACATCAACTTCACTGGGCTGGCCATATTATCCAGATATCTGATTCCAGACTCCCAAAGCAAGTTTTATCCTCCCAGCTCAGTCAAACCACATACTCAAGAGGAGGGCCAGGAAAGTGCTTCAAGGACATTCTCAAGGCTAACTTGAAAAAAAGGCAGCATCAACATCAGTTTGTGGGCAACTGCCCAGGACCACCCCAAGCGGAAAAAGAGTCTGCTGTAAGGATCTCAGTACTTTAAAACCTTACAACAGGAGACAGAGAAGCAGAGTGGCATAAACACCATGCTCCGGACCGAATCAAGAATCCAGAGCCATCCACTGTGCATGAAAATAAGTGCCTGAGTTACCATGGGTGACTGGTGCCTCCTGAGTCTGGGGGGGCACCAGATTGCTGACAGGGGGGCTGGGATGAGGAGCCTAGCAACTGATCCTTGAGCTAGCAGCAAAACCGGAAGTGCACTTCCACCAGCACTTCCAGTTTTGCAGCTGGCAGTTGCAGGAAGTGCACAGCTGACCTCACATGCAGCCCCCATCTACTGATTGCAAATTGGCCTCATCAGTCATCTGTTGACCCCCAAATAAGATAATCATGAAAGACAATCATCCTTGACTGCAAGGGATTGCCAAAGAAAAATAAACAACCTATGCTTAGTCACTAAAGCCTATCAGGACTTTAAACTATGTATTAAGTCAGCATTAAAGAGAGAATTTGAAAGCATAAGTCCCCCTGCTTTAGAAGCAGCACAAGAGGCATGCTTACAATGTAGTTCACTATATAATAAAAACTAAGAAAGCTTACACATCTCAGATTCAGTTAGTCTGTATGGTATCTCTCTACCCTGACTTCTCCCTTATTTCAGGCTAACATGATTCTCTCTCTCTACCAAGAACTATAAAACAACACTATATTTTGTAAGGCAAAATCATTCTTGCTTGTCTTAGAGTTATCTTTTAAAAGCAATTAGTTAACAAATCTAAATGTACAGATTCATACATAGCTAGCTGAAAAATGGAGAAGAAACACTGAGGTAATTTCATGCTGCATCCTCATTATTTTTTACTTTTAGAAAGACAATACCTTTTTGTTTTAAATAAAATAAAACAAGAAAGCTGAAATCTAATATGCAAGCAAGAAAGGCTTTTGACTGAAAAAAGTATTACCAACAGGAAATACTGCTTGGAGAAAAAAACCAGCATGAAAATTCAAGAAAGTAAAAATAGTTAACTTCCTCAAAAAGAGTTGACTGGACTTCTGTATAAATGGAAACACTCCATGTACATCAAATAAAAAAAGTTACTGTATGCTTAGTCTCTTCCCCATGCCCATCTAGATCACTTGAGCTTTAACTGGTACCTCTAGCGTTATTAACTATCATTGAAAATCTCTTGAATTGCTATTCATTTCAGAAAGAAAAGGCTTTATCTTTGTTAATTCAAGTGGGCACTTGAAGACAAAAGAAAGGATTCCAAAAACCAATGGAAGAATTTGTCATCAGATCTGTGTGGCTGGCACTATGCCTGAAGAGCAGCACAAAGCATAAAAGGAAAGCTGTGAATGAAGTAAATATTTCAGTCATGGTTATCACATACGTGCTTGTGCACCACACCGCCTCCCTCTCTTTCTCTCCCCCCACCTCTACACACACACACACACACACCCCACCTCCACACACACAGAGTAACCAGTAAGGTAGAGTTTAAAGTCTGGGCTTGCATCCCCACCTAGTGGAGAAAGAACCTGGTGATTTAGTTTTGCTCTATTACTTTTATTTCTCGTCAGACATAAAACAAATAAGCTGGTATGCTCTGGACTGATAATCGAGGCATTTTGCACATCTCGTAAGAAAAGAAATTTTGCTAAGAACAATTTCCAAGAAATTTAGCCCAGTTTTTGCTGACGTGGTCAGTGAAAGACTCCTGTTCTAATATGCCTTCTACTGACAAACCGAAGGTTAATTGCCAAGATCTGTTGCACAAGACTCAGTCACCAAATGAGGACTTAATGTAACTGTTCACATCTGTTCTAGGTCTCTGACTACTAGCTAGCAGATCTGGTTTTGCACTTACATGGCCACATGCTCGACAATGATGCCTTCTCCTTGTCAGTGCATTGAAAGGCTCCTTGCATTTCATGCACATTGTTACTTCATTATCTCTGATCCATCTTGGCGCTCTCTTCCCAAGCTCAGCATTCTGAAAAGGGGAAAAAAAGGCCAATTGTGCAGTATTTTTAGTAGCGAAAATAATTATTCTCTTCCTCTGGAAAGGAAATGTTCAAGCTACAATTGAAATCTGAGACAGCAATAACTAACAAAGAAAGCAGTCAAAAACAGAAACCATTGCAGAAAAAGGCACTCTAGCATTCATTCAAGAAAGAATGGGATTGTTTTTAGGGCATGGTTTGGCATCATCTACAGAAACGGTTGACCAGCAAAATGATCACTTTGTAATTCCACTGCTTTAATCCTAACTCTGGACATACAGCTTCTGCCAACCTCCTGTAATGCGCCATTTGCAATCAGAAATGGACAAAGCAGGCACTGGCATTACAAAGTAAAGTAACCCAACTTACAGAAACTTCAGCGGGCATGTCCTCATATTCTTTTGCAATAGCATTTCTGAAGGTTTCATTCCTCTGCTGAAAAGCTTCTATGGTATTCTGAAGAGCCTGTAAATGCAATAGATAAGCATCTCATGAATACTATTTAACAGATTCTCCAAAATGAAACTGCTCATTAACAAAAGGAGGCAAAATAGGAACTGTGATCAACAACTGATTAGATTACAAATTATCTTCTTTTCATATTAAATACCACAGGCACAGGCTCAAAGCAAAAACCATTGAAAGAATTAAAGTTAAGAATGTAGATTTGTTCACCTTTATCCATTCTTCTTTATCCTGTGCAGAACTGAAAAGAAAAGAAATAAAAATAGGCATATTAATTCAAAACTAGTTCAAGAAACATTAGTTTGTGGTGGCTAATGAACGGAGGAATAATTTACTACAGAATCTAAGACGTATAATGGTCCCAGCCTATTTAAGAATCCAGCAATGCTCAAAATGGTGCACTTAGAAGTAGCTTAGGAGTTCTGGCTTCAAGACTGATGACTGCACTATTCATATCTACAGGATTTTTCCGTAATGGTAAACAGATAAAGCCCTAATTTATCCACAAGACGCAACAAAACAAAAAAACCCTACAAACCACAATAACTTTTCTATGGTACTTGGAAGCATGCTATTACCAGGAATTACAATTGCTAGTTTCATTCTCAGTGCCTGTTTAATCCCTGCAGAAGGCAGGGTAGAGTTGTACCTTATAGACTGACCAAATCAGAGAGCCATAAGCTTTTATAAGGGACAACTTAATCAGATGTTATGAACAGACTGCAAAGAGTAGATCTTCTATATAGAAAGCAGTGATTTGAATAAAAAGGATAGGGAAGAGGGAAGGAAAAAGAAGGGGGCAAGGCTCTTAGAATACTTTAGCTTCTCTGGCTAACGTCCTTTAAAAAAACAACTTGAACTCAAAATTGTGGAACAAGAAATCATCCAGACTCGGGCAGGGGCAGGAGCTAGAAGCCAGAGGAGGGAGGGGGAGTCTGGTGCAGCCAGAGCCATGGGTAGAAGGTTAGCTGTGTGGCAGCCAAGGTGGGGTGGGAGAGAGGTGTGTGGGTAGGACTGTGCAAAATTTCAGCAGCCGTTTTGTTTCAGAGGTGTTTCAGCCTGTTTCGGTACCTGAAACACGAACAAAACAGAAGGCTCCAAAACATCTCTGAAACAAAACCAAACCATCCCAACTGTTTCGGAGATGTTTTGGAAAATTTTGGAGTTTCAGAGCCTGCAGAGAAACAGAAACTAAGAGGAAGGGGGAACAGGGGTGGGGGAAGGACTGCCCTGATACTGACATCTGTAGCTGACCTGTGTCTGCGATCTGTCCCTGAGGTCCTTTCCAATCCCAGTGCTCTGGGGAGGGACGGCAGCCTGCTGTCATCCCAAAAGCAGATCCGGAGGCCTGCACCCCCCGGGAGGAGTCTGGCACAGCTTCCACAGCCCTCCTTTTAAAGTGCCAGGAGCCTGCAGCCGGGCAGGCTATGGGGCTGGACAGGGCAGCCCTCAGACAAATTAACCTCTCATGGCACCAGCTGGATAGCCCTGGTCTATAAGGTGCAACTTTACTCCGCCTTCTGCCTAACTTCAAACAAGCATGGCTAACTATCTGTGTTTAATCCATGCCATTCCGTAGGGATAAACAATGGACCAGACATGGTGCAAAGTGAAATCAGGCTTGTCAAAGCAGGACTAAGCCACCCAACTCTAACTGGACTCATGGGAGCAAGAAATAAAGCACATGAAATACAAAACCATACTCTTAACTAGCTTTCAGACAAACAGTAAGGTTATGAATGGACTTATATAACAGGACTGCCTGAGCTAGCAGAGAACTGGACTCTCTGGGTATGGCAACACAGCACAGCATAATGACAGGTAGAAATACCCACACTAACTCTGAATGATCTAATTTGTGCTCTGCAAAGGCTTCTCAGCAGGGTACTGCCTTGTGCTACAGGGATACACCCTATGACCAAGAGTTAGCTTCCATGCCTATGTTTTTATTCATTTCCAGTTACTGGTATGCAGTATTGTGACTAAAGTGGGGTGACAGGGCAACTGCTCCAGGTGCCGAAGGGGACAGGGAGTGAAACGAACAGCTTTTGCCACAGCCATAGGTGACACACATGGGGGGGCACATGCCCTGCCTAAGACTGGCCGCTGCCGAAGCCACTGCTGGCTTTTGTGAGTGGTCGCTGCTTGCCACACAACCCCGCTTGCCTATGTAGATGTGGCCACAGGCGATCCCCGCTTGCCAATGTAGATGCAGCCGCCGGCATCTGCGGACGGTCCCTGTTCGCTGCTGCTGACACAGCCACCTGTGGGCAGTCCCCGCTCACCGCCATGGTGCTCCCCCGGTCTAAGGACACACCAGTCATTCATGGCCACAGCCATGTGATTGTGATTGCAGCAGCAGCAATGGTGAAAACCGAAGGTGCCACTGCCCCAGTGTAAGGTCAGCCACCGTGGGCACCCTGCCACATTCTTACACTGCTGCTGGTATTCATCAATCTGGACTACTTTATAAACTATTTAGCAGTAAAATACGACCTCACAAGACCAACGAGCCTGGTTTGTGTGTGTGGGTATGTACTTCTCTGTCTCTATATTATGGAATTTTTAACGCTTTAGAACTAGACCATACAGTTCTCTTACCTGGCTTGCAACTCCAGCGTTCGCTCTTTTCCAGACACTTGAAACGTGTGTGGATATTCTTCATTGTGAGTTTCTATAATCTTCATACCATCAATGCCAACCCTTGTTCGAACAGAAAACTTTGATCCCACCAAGCTGAATTTGGGGACACAGTACAGCAACATGTTGTTGAACTGTAAAACAAACAAACAACCCCCTCAAAACTGACACATCATTAATTCAAGCGAAGTCAAGGCATTGCACAATATATTAAAAGCTGAATGATACCAGCGACTTACAAGAAAAAAGAAAACTTAAGTGTGCAAGTAACTGAGCCAACCAGATCATAGCTCAGTATTGAGAATATGTTCAATTATGGGGTTAAGACAACTGGAAATGGTCTTTTCTACAGTGTATAACTTTAAATTTATATTACATTAAAATTACTTTAGCTCTGAGGGAATTTTTAGTCTTGTATCAGGAGCAGATTGATGTTCCTTCACAATTATGTTATGAATAAATTAAATCCACAAAACCAAAGAAAAATGATGAGACCCAATAACAAGGAGGATGCAGACTCTTATTTCAAATGTAGTGCTTTTAAATAAATTTTAAAAGATCTAAAACTTCATCCCAGAGTTACAGCCATTAAATTAGAGCCATAATGCTTAACAGATTTTCTTGTTATTACTTATTATTGTTATCACTTATTTAAATGATACTTCATAGAAACAGTCGCCCCCATTAAAATGATTTAAGGACTTTTTAATTTTTTTTAGAGCTTCAGCAGTCATACCGACAAGGGGCCTGCTTATCTCTGGAATACGCTTTAAAACCACTCGCAAAAAAGAATCATTATGGACTTGGTACAGCAGCTGGTGAAGGATTCTGCACAATTCCTTTGATGTTCTAAGCCACATTTATGTCAGCTGAAATCTGTATCATAGATATGTCACATTTGAATCTCTCTCTCTAAGCATATACATCCCTCATTTTAATCTCATGTTTAGCCTGGTTCAAAGTCTTCTGCTATAGTCATTTATTCCTTTGCTGAAAACACAAATGAGAAAAAATCTGTCCCTCAGAAACTATGTGTTTCACTACCCAAAAAACATGGGCCAGCCAGTGGGTCATGAACAAGCAGCAAAGGTCAGGACTTGAATTTGTGATGTTGGGGTTCTGGAAGCAGTGAACTGCATCAAGCGTTTCATAAGGGAATTAAAAAAGCATCATAGAAAAGAACCAGAACAAAAATCAACAAGCTGGTGAACTGAACAAAAACAATGGTGAAAGTGAGAAGCATTTTTAGAGACAATATAAATTGTCTAGTAATGCTACTTTCCTATGCATACAGCACTTACTTGGGTAATAAAGTAAGAATGTCAACATCTACTTTATTGTTACTAGACTTGTAAAATACATGCACATTCAGTTAGACTGCTTGCATAGATGAATAATTTTATGCCAATTCATTATTTTAATACAGTTTAAAACTGTTATGTTAGCATAGACTCTTTAGCATGCGTTTCCTTTTCATAAAACAGAAGGAAAACACTCGTCCTATGCCCTAGGTGGCTCTTAACATCACAGAAATTCTATGAATAGAAATGAATAGCTACTGTGACAGCAACTATAACCATAAAAGACTTCCTGGAAGATGTGTAATTGGACCTGAACTGGATTTTATTCAAAACAATGTATTCTTGTCATTTTTCTCTATATTGTATATGTAATCTTTCTGCAATGTTAAGCAAGGGAAATCCTGGCACAATACTTACTAAGAAAAGGTATCGCTCTTGGGCTGATGTATTACGAGCAGCTAGTTTAAGGATCTGTCCTTCTTTGATGAGCTCATTCGAGGGGTTGACTATATCTTCTTCTTCTCCCAACATTTCATATATCTCCAACAGCTTCTTTAGATTCTCCTGTTCAACCAAAGCAAAATTAAACAGTTTTAATTAATAGCATTTATGAATAAGGGATCCTATCACTGTCAAAAGCTGATTTTGTTTATTATTATCCGACTCATATAAGAGTATTGAGATACTTACGTTTAACTATAGAGCCATTCAGTTTAGCTACCAGTATTCAAACCCTGAGCCCAAAATGTTTTTAAAATCCTAAAATTAATATAGCCAGTATTTTTAAAAGCTTTTTACAGGAATTTCAAAACATCTCACAAATATTTAATGGATTATATACCATAATCCCTCTGCAAACAGGATCTTCATTTTACAGATGCAGAAACAAGCTCTAAAAGGCTAAGTAACCATTCGTAAGGTCACACAGTTGGTCTAAATTAGGAACAGAACCCAACTTTTCCAACTTCCACTCCTGAGGTTCAATTACAAGACCATATTTTGCCTAGCATGATCACTGATCATAAAGGTTGCCTATAAATGTACTTGGGGGTGGGAGAGGCAGTTTGGTGGGGGTCCCCATCTGATCTGAGGGGGATGGGGTGTGCCCTGGACACCTGGATTCTGCGTGTGTGTGTTCATGCACACACCTTGGACACTTGGGTTCTGCTGGGTTGTGTGTATGCATGTGTGCCCTGGATACCTGGGTTCTGCTTGTGTGTGTTTGTGCGTGCACACACCCTGGACACCTGTTTTCTGCTGTGTGTGTGTGTGTGTGTGTGT